GAATTTCGGTAACCAATCGGCAGTATACTTCCAGTGCGCGGCAAGATAGGCTTTCGCCCTCTTCTCGGCGGGGGTTAAAGCAGCCGATGGTACTTGCTGTGGCACACGCTCTGGCTCTCGTGGTGGCGGAGGCTGATGGGGAGGCGGCGCGAACGGGAGATGAGTCTGGTTGAAGCGGCGCTTCCTTTTCGAGGTAGACGCACGACTTGAGGCTGGAGTTGATGCCTTTGATGTGGACGCTGGAGTTGATGCAGAGACAACAGGTACAGTTGAAGGTTCGGCGACAGGACCTTCAGCATCGACCATAGCCTCTAAATTTCTCTCCCATTCCTCACTACTGAGAGAAGGCAGAGGCTGTGTCGCAACTGGAGCGTTAGCAACTCAACGGAGAAGGTCGAGCCTGCTAAGAGGGAGCGAACTAGGAGTTTGCAAAGGGAGAGACTCGCGCCACCACCATCATCGGGCTCACCCGTGCCAGCCATGGCGGTAGTGGCATGAGTGACGACGGACGGCAGCGACGGCAAAGGTAAGCAGAGGTTTTCTTTTGCTAGGAAGGCGTAAGAGACATATTTGGTGAAGAGGAGGAAGGGAAGACACATTTGAACAAGACGAGGGTTTCGTCTGCTCTTCTTGGAGGGTGCGTGAATTGTGGGGCACCTCAGAGTGGGTGAGGGAGTGAGGTCGGCCGTGCATGCATGGATGGTGGTTAAGGTCGGCGTGCGGTGGTGAGGGAACCGCTGCCAGCCTTGAAGTGATGTTGCAGTGTTGACTAATCAGCGCGAATGATGCTGCCAGCAGTGGCAAGGATGGCAGCATATGACGTGCCACTGACTGGCGGTACACGCAAAATGACGCATTAGGCAGGATGTTGGGGCATGGCCAGGTACGGGGTACAGGGGAAATCTACAGGTGTACCTTCTACACACTAACCCTCAAAGGGGTACAAATGGTTACTCCTATATAATCAGAGTAAAATAAAGCCTCAAAATTTTTACTCAGGGCACCTAGAGTAGTTTTCAAAAACGACTCTGATTTTTAGAGAAACATAGTAAATTACTAGGCCCTGCTAGAACCTGGGATAAGGAAATACCATTTCCTTACAAATACAATTCTTCTAATTTTGTTTTGCAATCCGTTGGGAGTGTGTTTTTCAACCAATTTGTACCCCTGTTATGAGGGAGATTCCAACTTTGCTGGCATTGCTGGAGTCAGATCTTGCTTGCGTGGCCTTCGCGCCGATGCGGCTCGTCTACATGGCACATATTTTTTACACTCTGGAGCACGTCACCTGGACAGCCAATCTCTTCCCAGATCCCTGCTGACATCACCACGGCCTCCCGGAAAGGGCATTGCGGACATTGGTGAGGCGAGGACACCGCAAGCCCTCCCGGGCAGAGCGGTCTGTCCGACCCAACTGAAGCCTCATGGAGTCATGGGTTGGGGGAACTCATGTGCGGCGGACGTTGCAACGAGTCGGTCGATTGGGGAAACCGACTCCCCCTTCCGCCGCGCCATTCCCTCAGCAACCATCCGCACTTGCGCACTTCCCATTCCTGGGCAGTGCCAACGGCTGCGATTTCTTCAAAGAAGCCTTCCCTCCAATCGTATGTCAGCATGGCTTGCCTGGCTCCTCCTAAGTGGAATCAAGCGCCAGAGATTTTGGAAATCTTTTCCCCCTTCCCCATTCCGCTTGCCCACCCCTCTCCCCCATGCCCCATGCCCCTTGCCCCTTCCCCCGAACCTCAGTTTTTGGAATCTCTTGGTGCTTCCCTTGCATTACCGCTGCTGCTGCCACGACATGTGCAGCTGACTTGTACTTCAGAGGAATTTGGTGCTTACATCAGTCAGTTTTCTGGCACCAGTTCCCGTAAGATTCAGTCATTCCTGCTCTCACACCGGCCTTCTTGCTGATCGTCTCTCTGAACCCATAGTCCAATCTCCCTGAGCGATCTCCCCGTCAGCCATTATGGCCACCATCGCCTCCGTCAAGGCTCGTCAGATCATCGACAGCCGTGGCAACCCCACTGTCGAGGTCAGTCGCATGAAGATCTTGACCTCGCTTGGCAACAGCAGATCGACGGCAGTTATTTAACATCTCGAAATGCTGGTTCCCGCTCGCGGCCGCTCTGTTGGGTCTCGAAGCAATTAGATTTCCTAACCTTCCGGTTTCTTGTTATTTTTTCCCACATTTTGCAGGCTGATGTCCATCTGTCCGATGGATCCATGTACCGTGCCGCGGTTCCCAGCGGTGCCTCCACCGGTACGTCAGATGAAGAACTCGTATGCTCCTTTGAACTTTCTCGTCCCCCTTCCAGGCCTTTTTTTCTTTCTTTCTTTCCAACCATTGAGATGAGATCCGTCGTTAGCCGCTCACACATTTTTCAGTATTCTCCTTCTGTTTCAGGCATCTATGAGGCCCTCGAGATGAGGGACGGAGGCAAGGAGTACATGGGCAAGGGTGTTCTCAAGGTGTGTGTTCCATCAGTCACGCCTCCCGGCAAAGACAGATGTCTCACATTTTACACTTCCCATGTACTCCTTGCCTCGCGGCATCTCTCCCAACCCTGAAGCCCTTACAGGAACTTTCGAGCTGCGGATTTTGCATCAGCACTTGACATTCTGTCTGTTCGGTGTGTCGCTGGATTCCCGATCCGCAGGCTGTGAACAACGTCAACTCCATCATCGGCCCTGCTCTGGTCGGCAAGGACCCCACCCAGCAGATCGCCATTGACAAGTTCATGGTGGAGGAGCTCGACGGCACCCAGAACGAGTGGGGCTGGTGCAAGCAGAAGGTGCGTGGTCTCAAGATTCCCGTTGCCCTTCTTTGGGTCTTAGCGTCAGGCAATTCCGCAATGTGCATCTATTTTTCATCCAATTTCTCAATTTCTTTCTCGTATTAACGGTTCTTCTTCTTGACCCTGTGATACGTCCAGCTCGGTGCCAATGCCATTCTCGCCGTGTCCCTCGCGGTCTGCAAGGCTGGCGCTGGTGTCCTGAAGATCCCTCTTTACCAGGTACTTACAGAATCCCCTCCCATCCCGCCATTTCGAAATCGTCCGCATCTTTCCGCTTCTTCCGTTGAACTCTCACAAAGCTAAGGAAACCACCTTGCCGGCCTTTTTTTACTTCCGCATCCTCGTGCAGCACATCGCCAACGTCGCCGGCAATAAGAAGCTTGTGCTCCCCGTGCCGTCCTTCAACGTGATTAACGGCGGGTCGCACGCCGGCAACAAGCTGGCGATGCAGGAGTTCATGATCCTGCCCGTGGGCGCCAGCTCTTTCAGCGAGGCCATGCGCATGGGGTGCGAGGTGTACCACAACCTCAAGGCTGTCATCAAGAAGCAGTACGGCCAGGACGCCACTAACGTCGGTGACGAGGGTGGCTTCGCTCCTGCCATTCAGGTACTGCCGCTCAGCTTTGCCGACGTTGGTTTCTCAACGGTATCTCTCAGATCTGCCGAATCTGCTCGTCGCGCATTGCCCTATTTCGTGCGTCGTTGTTTTCCAGTTCTTCGCTTTTCGCGGTGAGTATTGATCGCGGATGTGATTCTTGTGCACGGCAGGACAACAGGGAGGGCCTGGAGCTCCTCAAGACCGCCATCGAGAAGGCTGGCTACACTGGCAAGGTGATAAACGGGCCGGGATAGTGGTCAGGGTAGGTTCTGGTCTTCTATGTAAGGATGTTATCGGCGGTCGTAGGTGAGACCCGGGTCACAGTAACACGTCGATGAATATGGGGTAAGAACGTTGCTCTGTCAGAACAAACTGTGAGGGAGGTTGAAAACTTTCCACCCACCTGTTGTACAGGAAGGCGTGAGAGACAGGAGCTGCTTCTTACCCCCTCTTTTCTTTGAAACTGTGAGCCACAGGTCAAGATTGGCATGGATGTGGCTGCTTCCGAGTTCTGGAAGGCGGACGACAAGACTTACGACCTCGACTTCAAGACGGAGAATAACGACGGCAGCAAGAAGCTGTCTGGCCCCGCGCTCACTGCCCTGTATGAGGAGTTCTGCCGCGACTACCCCATGGTGTCCATTGAGGACCCCTTTGACCAGGATGACTTCGAGGCGTACCCCAAGCTCACTGCCTCCATTGGCAAGGACGTGCAGATCGTGGGCGACGACCTGCTCGTCACCAACCCCAAGGTGATGCCTCGACCAGTAGGATGTCGCTTTTGGTCTTGAGCCCACAGCGTGCCTGCTCGAAGGAGTGCATCGCTGTTGTTCTAACTCCTCACATCGGTCCTTTTTCTTCCTCTGCAGCGTGTGCAAAAGTGCATTGACATCAAGGCCTGCAACGCCCTGCTGCTGAAGGTGAACCAGATCGGTTCCGTCGCTGAGAGCATTGAGGCCGTGCGCATGTCGAAGAAGGCAGGATGGGGCGTTATGACCAGCCACCGCAGTGGCGAGACTGAGGACACCTTCATTGCTGACCTGGCTGTTGGCCTTGCCACGGTATGCCTTTCAGTTTTGTGCCAACTGAACTTTTGCTGTTCAGTGCCAAATCTGCTGGTGCTTAATCGATTTCTTTGTCCTACTCCTTGGTCCAATTCCACATTACAGGGCCAGATCAAGACTGGTGCTCCCTGCCGCTCTGAACGCCTTGCCAAGTACAACCAGGTCAGTTGCCGAAGTAACATGCTCCAGCCACTGGGATCCAGCGTTCCTTCGATGTTTCCCTGCTGGTCATACTGTGGTTCCTGATGAGATTCTTTTTCTTGTGCCTCGCAGCTTCTGCGCATTGAGGAGGAGCTCGGTGCCAACGCTATCTACGCTGGAGAAAACTTCCGTGCTCCTTGCGAGCCCTATTAGATCTGGCCCAATGAGCTAGACGTTCAATGCGCCATGGTATTCATTGCCATGTTTAGTGTTGGAATGGAATACCATGAAAAGAAGTTAGCACATACGATGACCTGCAAGAATTTGAGCGTATCTGAACTGACACACAAAAAGTATGCAAACTGGCACATTAATGCAGAAATGGACGAATCTGTCTATATCTCATACGTCCAACATTTAGTTAACCAGTCAGTACATTTAAAGGAAGAAACACAAGAAGCAGGAAATCAAGCCCGAAAAGCTTGGTAGCAGCAAGTCGCAAAAAGTGAGAGGAGTGAGGAGTGTTGGAAAGCTGATGTTACTGTTTCGCTCATTTTGCCAACCTGATTCGAAACCTCTTGGATTTGATTCCGTGCACGTTGAGATCCTTGCTTTAAGCTACCAGCCTATTCCTCTGGAATATAGGCCCGCCAAACAATGCCAACAAGCTCTGCTGCAAGCTCCCTGTCATGCTGATCCAAGCTCAAGATCATATCCTGCAAACAAGATGGGTGTCTTGAAATTTGTACATGGAAAGCGTGCTCTTAGGAAAAATGGATTCTTACCTGCACAAGCTTTTGACTTTGTGCGTGCTCGAAGTCATCAACAATGTGATTGAACATGGCAAGTTTGGTCTTTCCTGCACCCACTCGATCGGCTGTTTTCAGCACATCAATAAGTGATTCGGCATCGACCTCCATCTCACACAGCTTCGAGTCCATGATGCTCGTCAGCTCAGCAACATCATATTTATGTGCTGCTTCAAGCACAGCAAGTCCATCCTGGTGGTTAAGTGGCAACATGGAAAAACATTCAAGATTCTCTGTGAGAAGAAGGTGAAGCGTTAACACTGCAGCATGATCCATAACTGAATGTACGCTAACCTTGACAGACTCTGGAGAAAGGTTGACCTCGAAGCCATACATAAATGACAGGAGCAGCCTCAATGTGGAGCCATCCATGCCATTTATTCTTACAACTGAATTCTGGTTTCCGTCAACAAACGAACTGTCGAACATGGCTTTCAGCACAGGAGACCTAGAGAGAAACAAACAACCACCATAAGAACCAGCATTAGAAGTTTGGCGCAACCGTAATGACGTGAATGATTACCACATTGAGATGATGTTGCGATGTGCAGGAATCTTGGTCCCATCAGAGGCCTCAAAGGTAACATCGCTGAACTCTGCGCTTTCAAATAGGTCCCGGAGCTTTTCAACATGGCACGGCGGATCCGTCTGCCTGCAACATTCAGGAGTAACAGTGGAGAATTAGCAGTTAATCCTCTATGTTCAGATGAATCTCAAGTCCGACGCTGACCAAAATATGCATCAGAATTGGTGATGGGTAAAGCGTGGAAACATCAGCGGGGTTGACAAAGAGTTGCTCGTACTTCTTCTAAAGGGCTACGCTGCTTCACACAAAACAGCACGTCTGAAGGGGTTTGCGAGAACGGCTTACATGGTGTCCTCTGTTGACATCCTTGGCAAGTGAGTAGCTTTTGGCCTTCTGGAGTTCACGAGTCCGAGAAAACACGCGGCAGGACGCAACTAGCCCGGAAGATCAATGAACCACAATGGCCTGTGTGATGTGAATTCCCAGCTTTCCGTTTTTTGGAATCCTTCAGGTGCTTCTCTTGCATGTTCCCAAAGCTGGGGAATGACGGAGATAGAGGGATTGCTCATTCATGCATGATGCATGGGCACATGCTCGTGATGTGAACAGTGAAGCACCCTTGGGATTGTGAAGCATGCTGCGGCTGAAGCAACAAGGTGAAAGCCCAGGGGGCGCAAGCTCAATTTCCTTGCAATCGATATTGGCGAGGTGGAGAATCGAACGGGATTGGCCAGACTCCCCCAGACTCCTCGCAATATTGATTTTGGCAGCGACGCCCTGCCAGGCTTCCCATTCGCTAGTTCTAATTCTGCGGTAACCGCATGTACTGGCTGGTGATGGGCGTATTTCCCGCCAGCGGCAATATCGGGTCTCGCCCAGTTTCGTGGCTGCCCGTTGCTCAGGCTAGCCAAACCTGGCTCCCTGCCATTCCGAGTCGCGAAAATGCCCACAGACGAATGTCCATTGTCCAGTCGCGAATTGTTGCCGGAGCAGCAGGGAAAAGGAAGGGTCAACGAAACGAGTGCGCTTTTACCGACAGGCCAACAAGCTGAACCAACCTACAGCGGAGAGAGCTGCAGCAAACCATACCCCAAACAGACACACGAAGCACGTAGAAAGAGGTTGGGAATCGCCCTAGCCGTATTATCCGTCAGTCGGACATCGTTTATTACTCCTTTTCACGACGACTGCGCGCAATTCACAAGGGAGTTTGACACACGGGCAGAAAGCCTTCCGCGCGGGCCCCGCAGATATCGCCGAACTATCGCCTGCACTGCTCACATTGCAATCCCCAATCTATCGTCCCGCTCGTTACGGATTTGTTTCCGTCCCGTGCACTCACCCAAGCGCTACCAAACCAAGCATCTGCCGACTTCGCCACGAAGGGCTTCCTCACGACGTAGAGTCGCTTACCTCCTGTACTGGCTAGTCGCCAGCCTCCCTAAACCCATTTCCTCTAGAACCGCTGTCATGAATCCTCGACTGCCCAGCCTGCTCCTTATCTCGCTAGGCCTTGTTGCTCCTCTCCTCCTTTCCGCCGGTCGTCGCGTCGAGGCATGCGCCGGCGCAGAGCGTCGCGTGCTGGTGGAGAATGCGACGGCGTCGCAGGTGCAGGACGAGGTCATGCGACTCAAGGAGACGCTCGCACGCGTGTCGCAGTACTCGCTGGCCCTCGCCGGAATCCACGCCTTATGTAAGCGACGATGGGATGGGTGGTATGGCATGGCGTGGCGTGACGTGGCATGGCATGTCATGGCATGGCATGTCATGGCATGGCAGAACACAGCATTGCACATTACGATGTACTTCTATTCATGGTCGATGGTACAACCGAGGCGTGCCTACGCAGCCATTGCCTCGAGCCGATGCTGGTGCCTCGCTCCCCCAGATTGCCCTTCATCGGGGAGCCATGGAGCCATGGGGCTTGCATAGACACACTGACTTAACGGCAGCTTGCCTGGAGCTTTCCTCTCACTGGCAGTCTCCTTCCCCTCTCTCCCCTCTCTCCCCTCTCTCCCCTCTTTCCCCTCTCTCCCCTCGGACCCCTCCCTCTTCCTCTTACCTTGCCTCCTCTCCGTCCGCTCTCTCCTCTCTCCTCCCCTCCTCTCATCTCCCCTCCTCTCCTCGCCTCCTCTCCTTCTCCCTCTTTCCTCCTAGCAACAGGGTACGATCCGAGCATCGACTTCCGTCTTCTCCTCGACACGACGCTCTTAATCCCCACCGACTCGGCCATTCTCTCCGCGGAAATCCCCACCAGCAACATCACCTATACAGACGTCGTCGACGTACTTAAAATGCACGTGCTGCCGCGTCGCCGCGCGTACAGCAAAGTGGAGTGCGGCGAGCCTATGCCATTCCTTCTCACGCCCGCTAACTGGACGTGGCCGACGCTCGGCGGTGTGCTTCTAACGCGGATGGTTCCGCCGGGGGACTGTGTCCGGCTTTCGCCGACGGTGTTCGAGAGCGAGTACTATGCAGCTGATATAGTTAATCCGAGCCTGTTTGTAGGGAAGTATTTCGCGGCGCATGGCGTGAATAAGCTGCTGAGGCCGCCCTACAGCTACTAAGGCGAGATGGCCAGGCCAGAGAGGGGGGAAGGAGAGAGGGAGAAGAGAAGGGGATACGGAAATGGAGCTGCAGGGGCGAGGGTGGGAGGAAGGTCGTGCAAAGGGGAGCGAGGTGCGGGCTTTCCGTTGGTGTGAGAAAGGGGGAGGGGCGGGAAAGGGGCAGGGTGTGGAGGAGGACTTTCCGTTGGCGTATGTGCGGGGGAGTTCAGACGGCCCTCTGGTGTTCCCAGCCATCCCATGCCATCCCATCCCCATCCCCATCCCATCCCAACCACATCCCATCCCATCCCATCCCGTCCCATTGCATCCCATCCCATCCCATCCCTGCCGTCCCTGCCGTCCCCGCATGCCTTCCAATCTTCAACGTTCTAATAGCATAAGAAGCACGTGCCTACAGCTCGCTGAAGGAACACGTTGTTTAGCGCTTCAAGTCGCTGCAGCACACGTCACAACCGCGTGACAAGCTAGGCAAGCATTACCTAGGTAGCGCATATACATTCCATGATTCTGGGTTCCAGGTTTTAGGATAGGCTGATTTCATCTGCAGTTCCCTTGTTTGTTACATAAGGCACTAAACGATGCTCTACAGCAGGGTCCTTGCTAGGATTTAGGGGCGTCTGATCTTCAGACCAACTTTTGTGCGTCCGTCTGACCATCAGACGAAAATTTGGTTCTCGTCTGAGTTTTCAGACGAAATTTTCAGGGCTGTCTGACTATTCAGACGAAGTTTACAGGCCTGTCTAATTTCTTCGAATATTAGTCTAGCATACGCATCCTTGGACATAAGTCCTACAGCTTTTAAAGTAGCTGAAATAACCTAACACTCTAGGCCAGAAATACAAGTCAGAAATCAATCTACCATTAAATATACAACCCAACGACACTACATGACAGCATCTATTCGCTTCACTAGCCAGTAGCACTTCAATGGCACGTCATTGACAGTCGGTCGAGCATAGAATCATGCTGACACAGGACTTCACTCATCTTCACTGTCACTTGCAAAGGGGTTGTCCTGCTGCTCCTCTTCACTCTCAGAATCCAGGTCAATCGCAGTAGCCTTGTCTCTTGCCTTCCTCCTCCAGTAGGCGACTCCAGGGTTTAGGGCCTCATCTGCCGCTTCTGCTTCGGCCATTGCTGCAGCTTGCTGGGCTGCTGACTCTGCTGCTACTGCTGCTCTCTTGGCTGCTCTTGCTGCCTTTGACATCTTCCTCTTCTGCGGGCGTCCCGCCTGTGCCATGACAACCTCCTTTGCCGGCCGCCGCTTTTTCCCTGCCCGCCACCTCTCCACCATCGAGTCCCACTCCATGTCGTAATCGAGGAGAGAAATGGACAGAAGATCCGACAGCTTCGCGTCGCACAGGTTCCCGCGGAGCCAGCTCTTTATTACATTCTGGCGACTGAAACCCCGCTCGCACTCGACAGTGCTCAGAGGAAGCACTGCCACAGTGATCCACAGATGCACCAAGTTCGGGTAGGCCGTCTGCCAGTCAGGGGATCGTAGCATGTTCTTCAGGCCGTCGAGAAAGCCGTAGTCCTTGCAATGTGTTGACATGATAGCCGTAAACTGAGTCAGTTCCTTCCGAGCCTTTGTCCAATTGATGCCTGGAATAAGGGTGGGGCAGGCGCAGGACACGGAGGGGAAATCATGGAGTGAGCACAATTGGGAGATAATTGCAATTGCATAGTCAATACATGCGCGAATCAATGGGTTTTGGCAGTGAGGACTGAGGAATGGAGAAACTAGCCGCGGAACAGCTTGCTGTAGTTGAGGGTTCACCAGGCAGGGTATCGGGAGACGAGGGTTCATGCTTGTACAGGTTGCGTAAACCTGTCAGCCACAGTGGAAATCGTCGCTCCCGCTCCTGGATGGTGCGTGGATACGCTCCCTGCCAGAAGAGCTTGGAGCAGTTGAGGGTTTTCAGATCTGCTAAGCGGGAATCAATGCTGTCCAGCAGCCCAAGCACGAACGCAGTTGCCATGGTCATCAGCGACTTCATGTCCCCGCCACTGATTTGTCCAGGGAGAGCCTTCTCGTGCAGCGTGTAGGTGTGGATGAGCCTGGTGCCATCGCCGTCCACGCCCTCGACCGTCACCTCGCGGTTATGTGGTGATGAGTGCTTCTTGATGAACTCCACTAGGGCCGTGTTGCCATGACCGAAGGCCTCGCCATAGTTGACATAGCGGCTGCGCAGAGTTAGCTTGGTGTTGTCCACCATTTGGCAAACGTGGGTGACGTCGACTTGAAGGAAAAGCAAAGAGATGTTAGAAATGAGTCATTTATAAAGCCGCACATCGGGATGCAGTAGCATTTACCTGGCGGCGCTGAAACTTCAGGTTGAGCAGGTTGAGCTCGTTGAGGACATCGGCAAGGAAGTAGAGTAGGAAATGGAATTTCAGCTAATTACCATGGTGTACGCCTGCCGGTCATGCTCTGACAGGAGTATGATGGCGGCAGGGAATACCTCGACTAGCCTCTGGATGGCCTCACCTCGGGATAACCATCTGATGTTGTGGATTCCCTGCAACTCCAGGTTCGTCTCTGAGACGACATCCTTGAGCTGCTTGAAACGTGAATGCAAGACAATAGACCTGCCAAGGACCTCTGCAAGTGACTTCACGACCTTGTCAACAATGGCAAGGTCGGGAAAATCAGCTGCCGCATCCTTGGCAGCAAGAGCTTCCCTGCACACAAGGTAAGCATGTGCGAAGTCAAAAGGGGGTGACTGTATTGGAAGATGTACATCATGCTTTTAATTTGGTGCCTCAGAACACTGCTCTTACCTATGTGTGACACAGTGGCAAGAGACTAGGTGCGGGATGCGGGACCGCAGCCGTGCCACCAGCCCGGTCGACGCGCCCGTCATGACGCTCGCGCCGTCCGTGCTGATGCCGCAGATCTTCTGGAGGTCCACGCCGGTTGCCTCGAGATGCGTGAGGAGGATAGCTTGCAGTGAAGCCGCGTCGCATTTGTCCACTGTGAGGTGCGCATAAAACTCGGTGACGACCTCCTCGTCCCGTAGGAAAGTCAAGTACACGATGAGATGCTTCCCCCGCCGCCTGTCCGTACTCTCGTCGAGGTGAATGCCGAGGTACGGGCTTGTCAGGATGTGCTTCAACTGCTTTGCGTGCAAGTAGGCCACCATGGTTTCGACCAGCTGGGCGAAACCGTACCTGCAAAGTTAAACAGACAAGTCAGTCGTGTATTTTGAGGCTTAAAAAAGACAGCCAAGCCGGACAATAACATAGGTCAGGGTGAGAGGGTGTGTCATTCGACTACACTCACTCTGAATAATACGTGCCGTTCTCCTTCAGGGGCATGTCCGGAGTCCCCTGCTCTGCCATGAATTGAACCAACGAAACAAACAAGGCAATGGGGGCGTCAGATTTGCAGATAAAGTGCACAATGGCAAAGAGCCTCTTCAAACGTCGTGCGTCCTCATCCCCGATCTCAAATTCCGCAATACTCCTCTGTTTCTTCATCTTGCCATCTCGATGCGCCTTTGCCGCCATCGCTGCCTCATGCTTGATGGTGTGATCGTGCTTCCCCATGGTCTGCTTTTGAATGTCGATGCCGCCCTCCCCATAGCGCCCATACTGGTACGTTGGCTCTCTCTGCGTGATGCAGATGGTGCACTTCATGCACGGACGACCTTCCTTCGTCTCCGAGATGAACAGCCAGGGGAAGTGACGTTGCCATTGCTCACTGCACTTCAGCTGCAGCTCCTCCAATGCCAGCGGCCATGGACCGTTGTCCACAATGTCGTCCAGTGAATCAGGGGTCGACAGTCCAGCATCTGACGTGAGCGCGGCAGGTGGATTAGTTGGCGTGGAGGTGGGTGATCGCGGCCTCCCGAATGTCAGCTTGCGCTGCTTGTACTTCGTCCCCCCAGGGCACCTGGTGGGTAAGACAGGGCCAGCAGAGAAGAGAGGGGCCGGTGCACCAGCAGTCGACGTGCTAGCGACGCGAGGAGAGGATGGGGGGAGCGGTCTGCGGACCCACTCTTCAACGTCTACTTCTGGCAGCAAGCCGTCGAAGCGCGGGGTGCTGGGTGTAGTCTCGGAGGATGGAATCGAAAGAACCACGGCATGCTGAGATGCAATTAGGGGCGAAGCAGGCAGCACGGTAGGAGGTGAAGCAACGGGATGGGGATTAGGAGGTGGAGCAATAGGCTCCACAGCAGCAGTCGAGGGACTATGTGGCGTCATGGTAGACGGCGACGATGCGGGCGGTGGACTAGGAGGCGCTACCGCGGGTGGCGCTGCAGCAGGCGCCACTCTAGCCGCTGCCATGGTCCGTGGAATGACCGACGGCGCCAAACTAGCGGGCTCCGGGCAGGAAGGAACCGCAGACAGCGCAGGGGAAGCAGCAAACTGGCTGCATGTTTTGCGGCCTAGAAGATCCAGCGCCGAGATCGACGGAGCAGTAGTCGAAGGCTCTCGCGAAGAACTAGGTATGGCTGCTGGGGCGCTGACCCTAGCAGCGTCTGTTGTCATGGGGCCTGTCTCACGATCGCGCAAGCCAGAAACAGCCGCAGAGGAGCATAAACTACACGCTTAGAGTCATGCAGCTAGCCGTAGGGAGCTGTTGCTGCTTGTGCTACGCATGAACGCTTGAAAGGAGGAATGATGGGTTAGGGGGGCAAACTGGGGGGACTTTCATCTCCCTCCAGGCGCCTTCGTTCGTGCGCCTCGACGCATGGTGTGGGACGCAGCCCGCGGTGCATCACTCATGTCCTTGCATCTTTGCCTGCCGAGGACGAAATGTGCTGGCGCAATGCTGTCACGGGCGCCGACAATACGCTAAGGGACAACGCCCTGACGTAATACCGCCACACTGAGTCCTGCGCTGTGCCTGATTGGAGTGCCGATACCCCGCTAAGAGACAACGGCGTGGCAACTTCCGAGTCAGAGGACAGCTAGGGGCCTGAGGTTTTCGATAGCGTGGATGCGACCTCACGCGATTTCATAATTACGCATGGCACGGGGAATGACCGAATCTGGCAGACAAGCTGCCTTGTGGCCTAGTGGGCACATTTGTTTGTTTCAGACGAAAATGTACTCATTGTCTGAAAACTCAGACGAAACATTTCATGGCGGCCTTCTCCTTTCTTGCTAGCTCAGTTCATAACATGGTATCAAAGCAGGCCGACCGTCCCGGGCCTGCTCATTACGCTTCCGCTGCGTTCTCGTTGTTACTTCGCCGCCGTTGCGGCTTTCCGCCTGCCTGCCGTCGTGGCATCTTTTCTGTGATGCCACGACGGCCTTTTAGTCCTGCCATCTCAGCCTCGATGAGCAGCAGCGGCACCGACGCCACGCTGTGGCGGCGTCGTAATGGTGCCGCGGCGGCATCGTCGAGCCGCAGCCGCCGCGTATCACCTCCGCAGCCGCTGCACGTGCAGCCCACCCACTCGCCAGTAAGCGCCGCGCCAGCAATGGCGCTGCGCTGAAGTCATGCAGCCCCACCATAGCAGCCCCACCACCTCTCCCTCCCCTGCGTCTCCTCCTGCTCCTGCTGCAGCTGCTGTCTTCTGCTCGGTCGTCGCCGGGTCGTGCCACACCGCCGAGAGCCCTCAGCCACCGCAGTTACCGCCTGCCTTCCTCGACGCAGCAGCCTTGAGCACGTGCTCCGCCGCCGTCGTCGCTGAAGCCGCCCAGACGCGGGCAGCTGCCTCTCGTCCGGGGGTGTCATCGCCTAGCACGAGGGTTAGATACCCGG